CGCCGCACCGGAGCCACCACCAACCTCGAAAACGTACAATTTTCCTCCCTTTTGCTCGAAATTTAATCCCAAATCTTCCTATACCCATACTGAAGCCGAAAGGCCGATGAATGAGGTAAAAAACATGAGCAAAGCTTGGCCGAACAGTCGTAGCTAAAATCCAAAACCTCCTCCGATGAGCCCCTTTCCGTTTCCAATTTTCTACGATTTTTTTACCATTGTGTTCCTTATTTTGTTCTGATGTGGGTTAGCTGAAGAAACACCTCGACTGCAAAGGAGGAATGGCGAAGCTGTTGTACTTGGAGACCCTTCCGCTGGTAGGATTTTGATTTTTGCCTTTTCTAGCCAATAGATGCCCCTAACTTGGTTTTTCGCAGGTTTCCATACAAAATTGGCCAAGATCAGCCAAAATTGGTCGAAAATAACCATGTCAAGAGGAACCACCGCCGTGGGCGGTGGAGCCGACGCCGGAGCATGGCAGCGCTGCTGTGTTAGAACCCTAAATTGGCCGAAAAGTTTAAAAACACCTATTTTGGCATTTTAGAGTATTTTTAGATACATGATGGGTATTTTTAATTTTCACAGAAAAAAATTCAAAAAATCTGGGGACCGCCAGGAGGTCCAGTAAAAAGTACAGTATTTTGTATACCAATCCAGGGTAAGAATCTATCACCCTTTTTCCCGTTATAATAAATTGAAGCTTAATAATAATCAATAACATTGTGTTTTGTGAAAATTAGAAAAATTCTAAAATTAACTACAGGTCACTAGTGAAGCCATAACTGATAAGTGTATAATTGTCATACCTTATCTATGTTGCCTATTTATTTTTCTATATTGCCTAAATTACTTATTATTGCACCGTATGCTTTAAATTATTAATTTTAATTATTTTCTCGTTTATTGATTGTCTAACTATTTTTTTCATCTGTTGACTGATTTGAAATAAAATGTCCTAATTACGTTTCTTAATTATTAAAGTATAAATTTATATTATCTGATGAGATGTTAAATGTGATGGCTGATTGGTTGATAGTGATTGGTTGATAAAGTGATTTTATGTATGAAAGGTTTACTAGGTACTCTGAAAAAAGGTGAACGGACTCAGTACATAGGGTAAACCCTACCATGGATCTTACTTCAATCGAATAGAGCTGAGAAATTTCATACCGGAAGGGGTTAGGAGGTACAACTCACTCTCATACCGAACGGAGTATTGAGACAATGACATGTTTGGCGCCCATTACTGGACGAGATATAGGGTTCGACTGGTTAATCGAAAAATTGGATATTGTGTTCATGTATAGGGGGGTATCCCTATAGACCCTCTAAGAGTACTAGTAAATAGGTAAGTTTATTATTATGGCTCATTTGAAAATAAAATCAAAATACGATTTGGGTTATTGGCTTTGTAAGTTTTTTTTTTAGAAACTCACAAAAGTAAACATGAAACTTACTTTTTTATATTAAATAAGTTTATTTAAGAGATAAATTTGTTCTGTTTGTTGTTTTATGATTTTTTATTAATATTTGGTTTTCTATATCGGTGTTAAGTGTAATATTCTTACTAGATTAGTATTGCTTATTTTCCTATTGAACTATTTCAGATCAAAAAGACCAAAATTCAAATCTTGAACACTAGAAAAGTTGCGAATGAATGTTATCTCCCGGACTCCATCAGAGTTGTCCAATGGAGGATAACCCCATAAGATTTTTATTTCATTTTATTTTAACTGTTTATTCTATTACTATGAACTGCTATAAAAAAGTATTTCTATATTTTTATTGGACATTTTAATTTATTATGTAAGTAATGTAAACCTTAAATTCTAAATTATTTTTGTTTATTGTTGATATAATTTAACATTTCTATTTTTTAAGTTTTAATCCTTTATATTTATTTTTAAAATTTTAAAAATATTTTAAAATTAAATATATATGAGTGGAAATCAATAATTTTTTTTTTATAGTTTAAACAATAAAAGATTAAAACTAATTATGAACTCGATATTTTAAGTATAGTGTTACATTTATATTTGATGGATTAAAACTTGCATTTGCTTTTAAATGAAAAATTGATTTTAAATTTGTCACGAGGCTAGATTTTTGTGGTTCCTTGGCTTTCAATGGGAAAGCTGCTATTCAAAATACTTTTCAAACTCTCCAACCGAGAAAATGAAACCAACCCCGTTTCCTTCTGCAAAATACGGATAAAAACTGACCATATCATTTATTTGCAAAAATTCTTTTTAGGAAAAAATATTTTTATAAGGCAATTTCCTGTTTTTAATCATTATTATATTGATAAATATCTTCGTCAAGCTGATGGGAGCTCTCAATTTTATCATTCTGCGTTTAAAATTACACGGAGTCTGTAGGGCAGGCAACTTCGCAGGAGTTCACCATCGATTTTTTGTTTTCTTCTGTGGGCAGTCAAACATTCAGTTATCCCATTTTAAACGTTTCAGTTTTCTTCGAAAACGAAGGGCATTTCCGTTCTTCATAAAGCTTGTTTTTAGTACTCAGCGAGTGTGAAGCTCTTCATATGGAGATTCAGTTGATGAATTGAATTGATGCGCAGTTTTATCCATCGCTAGTTCAGTGGAAGTTTCAATGGAGTCTCTGGCTTATGGGTCTTTTCCTAAATCGTGTTTAATCACGTCTGGTACGAGTTTTGATTTTATTGCCGGAATCTGGGTGTAATCCGTTCTTTTTTTTCCCCTCATTTTTCTCTTTGGTGAAAAAAGGAATCGTTTGACAGAAATGTGGGTTGAAAAATGAGAGAAATAGGGTCTAAACACGTTTAACATTTTTAGTGTTAAATGCCTTGTTTGGATGTTTGTTTTTATCTGAAAAAGCCAGGTTTATTAGCTTTTTCTTTTTGGGTGTTTTATTGTCTGATTTATTCCGTTTGGTTTCTCTTTTATCTGATGCATGCATGGATTACTAGGCGGGAATTTTTGGGGTTGCAATAAGTTCAAGGCTCGCAATTTCTCAAGTACGTTTCTCCATCTCTGTAATTCTGGTTTAGTGACTTGTATCTTCATCTTCTGAAGTAGTCTATCCCCCATGGATTCTTGGGTTTGGTCTCAACTTACTGATTCTACTGGTAGTTTCTTACTGTGATAATTTGCAATCTTATCACTTGATTTTTACCTGGCAATACATATAGCTGTATGGTGTCAGTTAACTGATCTGCGTTGTGCCTAAGCTTCTAAATTGATATTCCTTTGATGTACTTCTATGTCATGTATGACTTTTTATGTATTCTTACGTGGATGCCTGGGATAATAGGTTCTAATGTAGGAGTTCAAGTTTCGAAATGTAGATCATGTAGCATTCTGCAGAGATATTATGCTGTGAGGTTTCAGCAGAACTTTAAGAAGCAGCATGATAGAGGTTTTGAGGAAAGATCTACTCTATGCCTGAAAAATAAGACAAAATTTGCAGTGAATGCTACATCCAGCCACTCTCTTGAATCTGAGCCTGAATCTCATAGTTCCAAGAGCACTTGGCGCTCCATTAGCAACATTTTAGATGCCTTCTACAGGTTTTCGAGACCACACACAGTTATTGGCACAGTTAAGTTTACCTTGTTGATGCGAACATTGTGTAAATTAGATTTTTATTGTTGATCTTTACCAGATTCATTTCCTGACTTTTCTCTAAGCCTTTTACTAGGCGTTGTAAATTTTGGGAATCAAACTCCACGTCTAAAGCTCACTCTCGAGCACTCTTGCCACTGAGCAAAAATGGCTTGCCCATTCGCAAATTTTGTATCTTTTTATAGCAGATATAGTTGTTTCCTTTGTTCATTTTCATATATTTAAGGAGAACAATAAAAGAAAGAGTTTAACCTTTTCTCTCCTTCTTAGCAGGCTCTGAGCATTATATCTGTTTCTCTCCTTGCGGTAGAAAAGCTATCTGATATTTCTCCGCTATTTCTTGCTGGTGTGTTGGAGGTAGTGTACCGAAATATTAATTTTGGATCAAATGGCTATACTAAAAATTTATTATTCTCATCTAGTGATAGACTCCTTACAGATTTCTTATTTCATCTTGCAGGCCGTGGTTGCTGCCTTCATGATGAATATCTATATTGTTGGTTTAAATCAGCTGTATGACATTGAAATAGATAAGGTAGCTTTTCATACGAATCTTCATTGCTAGATCAACCATTTTCTTACTTTCTAGACAGTGGTTTCTCTTTCCTTGAGATGCAAAACTGGAACTGGTGATAAAAGGATGAGTTATTTGAGGCATCAGACTAGATATCCAATTTTTACGGCATATTCCAAATCATCAAGTATCAGTTGTTTATTTCTACCGTGTTTTCCATGGCAGGTTAATAAGCCATATCTTCCGCTAGCTTCAGGGGAATATTCTGTCCAGACTGGTATCTTGATCATTACTTTAGCTTCCCTCATGGTATGAATATCTCTAGCTACTTCTCTTTGCATTCTGTGAGTAAAATTCGTTTTGAATTATGTGGCGCTTATGGTTGCTTATCCATTATTATATTTTTGTTTCTTTCTTGTACTCAGAAAAAATATCTTATTTTGCTAATTGTTATTCCTAAAGCATCCTAAAATCTTATGGGAGTTGTTTTAGTTTGTCATTTCTGTTTGCTTGTAATCTATTCAGCTGCATCTTTTGTAATATTTGTCCAATTTTATCTGGGAAATTTACTGGAGAAGGGACAATGGTAAATGAAGTTTGCTTGTCATCTCTTTATCATATCCATAGAAAACTTTGGTTTTGTATACTGGGGGCAGTTATGAGGAAGGAAGATCATCTCTCCCTTTCACTGTCTGTACTTTGTATATCCAA